TGTGTGTGTGTGTGTGTGTGTGTGTGTGTGTGTATGTGTATGGTGGCGACCATCATGGATTTATACGTAGAAACCCAGTTATCTAAAGGAAATTTTCTTTTGCCTAAATGTAGCCACATACCAAAATGGAAGTTGTTTATTTCCCAGTCTATCCCACTCACAACATTCACGACAGAGGGAGGGTTTTCTTAATTCTTCCTTTTTGCTCCCCATTGCGGTACAATAAAACAAAGGTGACAAAATTCTACAGTGTAGTTGTGCAGGTATATGATATAAGAGCATATTACTTTCACACCAAGTATTCTGTTTGTATTGCTTTATACTTCTGTTAATGACATAGTTTACTGAGACCATGTCATCAAACATTAGGTAAACAATGTTCCTGCCTGATGTTTAATGACCTTAATAGCAGAACACGTTTGCGAATCTTCTGGTTTCTGATCCAACAGGAGACCAGTGGATTCAGGCCAACAAGGAGCCTGTGGAGATGAACCAGTACAGGGTCAAAGGTCTCCCAGTGGGGGAGAAGATGCTGTTCAGAGTGGTGGCCATAAACATTGCTGGTCGCAGCCCGCCCGCCACTCTGTCTCAGGCTGTCACCATCAAGGAGATCATGGGTCAGAGATGCTCCTTAACTAAAACCAGATGCTGTCGTGTTTAATGAACACAACAAGCTTATTGTTGTTTTATGAGCATTTTGTATTACGATAAACAGCATCCATGATCTGATTCATCTTTTCTTTGTCCAACATCCAGAAAATCCAAAGATCTGTCTTCCTCGCAACCTGAGAACAAAACTCATCACTACTGTGGGTGAGAAGGTGAACCTGGTCATCCCGTTCCAGGTCAGTTAGACCTTTAACTTTCAAGTTTTTACCAGGAAAAACCCGGAATTTTTATTTATAACTCCCTCGTGTACATCCTGAATGACGTGCAAACTTATTTCCTCACTTTAGTCACAGAACTTCTTAACTACGTCTGAACTTCATTGCAAAGAATTCCCCCGTTTTTTTTTTTTTTTGTTGCAATTTTGCAAGCCATGCGCACAAAAATGTGCTATAAATGTCACAAACCGTCTGCTCCAAACGTGGACACGCTGGTCACAAACAGAGTTCATCATTTTGAGTTGCCAACTCGTCTCCAACAGTCACAGCTCAGTAAGATGCCACCTAAAGAAGACGCATTGTGCATTAAGGTCATGCAGAAATGAGAAAAGGAATGAGATTACCAATTTAAACCGTGCACAGCTGCAGCACGTCTGTATAAAGTGTCCAAATTCATGTTTTTCTGTATGTTTTGGAGACTGAACCATAAACTAAAACCCCCGATGGCTGCAGCCTGACCGAGCAGCTTTTCTTCTCCTGGAATGCAAATCTATTCTATAAATATTGCTCTACAGAGAGCGCGAGCGCTTAAAGGGCACAGGGAGAGCTACAGCGTCTGACAGCAGCTTTCGAATGATGACGCTGGTTAGAAAAAGAAGCTAACCACGAGCAGCGAGGGGGAAAACCCTGGTTGTAAATAAAACCAGACAAGAAGAGAGCACAGAGAGAGAGAGCAGCTTACACGATGATCTGAGCATCAACATTTCTGCCATCTTACATAAGAGCTGGACGTTTTGCTCAGCAGCTGTTTTCACATCAATCAACAGTTAAATGTTCCGATGGTTCTGCATCAACTCTTCAACGTGCCAAAGTTCTGGTGATTTAATGAACAGGCTCAGGCTTTGGAGCGCGGCGGCGTTTTGAGCGTTTAAAAAGTGAGTAAAGTGTTTTTATCTGCAGGGAAAGCCCCGTCCCGTCGTGACCTGGTCGAAGGACGGCGTCCTCATGGAGGACAAGACTGTGGGGACCCGTACCAGTGATGTGGACACCGTCCTCTTCATCCGCTCTGCAGAGAGAAGACACTCCGGAGCGTACACTCTGTCTGTGCAGATCGAGAACATGGCTGACAGCGCTGACATCCACATCCAGGTCGTAGGTAAGGTTTTCGCCCATGTCTGTGTGTGTTAGCAAAATATCTGAAATTACTGGATGTATTTTAACGAGACCTTCAGGAACAGATCACTGGATGGGCATCTGATTACGTTTTAGAGTCAGTCTGATTAGAGGCGGCTGCCTCGGTTAATCCAGTTAGCCAAAACAAAATGGCTGAAAGATGCTCCTTGCAGGTCGGGGTGAGTCTCTGCCACAAGCAGACGAGTTTATCTCAGTAGGATGGAGCGGATGGATCAGCGGATCAGGGCCTCGTCCTCAGTCGCTTCAGTCGGTCATAGTGAAGAAGTAGTTGAGTCGAGAGGCAACACTCTGTTTTATGGTCTGTCAAGAATGGATGACTGAAAGAACCAGATCTGAACTCCTCAGGGTCCCCAGGAGGAGCTGGAGGGTGTCGCTGAGGAGACACTTGGTCTCTCCTGGACCTGTTGGGTCTCGGATCTGACCACAGATAAGAGGCAGAAATTTGTCTATTTTACAGATATTGAGCTACAATTTGATTAAGTAGTAACTGAGAGTCATCCCCAACACGTACTCTGAGCACTGAAAGGTTCAACGTTCTTTATCGTCATTCACATCACAGGTGGTACATGAGGTGGAACAAAATTGTGTACTCAACGGCCAATTACACCCAAAAATAACAAATATATAAAGTATAAAAATAAACAGTATACAAAGATCTAAGATATACGCTAAACAATAATAATGTAAATTAATATGTTGTATTAAACAGCAGCCTGAACATGAGTCTGTTGTGAGCAGATGGATTTGAATACAGCAGCTCTGAGGCAAGAGATCAGCAGCATGGATAATCAGCAGCACAGATAAAAGGCGACATCTTGTAAAATGATTTTGTTTTACAAACTGACAGTTATAATTTTATAAATTTTTCAACATAAGACGATCTTAGTCTGAAACGCTGAAAGGCTGAAACGTTTTCTTTCAAGGAATGCTATCTTTAATTATTATTTTTATTATTATTATTATTATTTAAGTTAGTGATGTTAAAACTACAAAATCACCCTTTTCAGTCAACTTAAAAATTTGTAATTTGAGGCTAATTTGTGTGTTTTTGTCAGATTGGTCCGATCATTCTGAGACTCAGATTACGGCTCGTTAAGGATGATTGACAGAGAGTTTTTGTGTTTTTGTGCCGGCAGAGAAGATCCTGTTCTTGCTGCGATGACGCTGCGAGCAAAAAGCTGATTATTTTCATGAGCTTCGGCTGCGGAAACTGTCCTCAGCGTCACTTGAAGACTCTGATGCTCGTTCTCTCATTAGGATTAGAACATCGCGCACGTTCAAACTTTTCAAGGTGTGCGATTAAAAACCTGTCTGGAAGGAGACGGAGGGTTGAGCATAAATCTGCGAGACGTGCTGAGATTCCTTCTTTCAACACTGATGATAATTCCTCGTTTCACGATCCCAGGAAATCTGGAACCATCAAAGAGCTCATTCCTCTCTTTCGCCTAATCCCGGCTCCTGCGCCACCGCCTCAGAGCTCGTCTCTGTGGCTCGGGGTTCCAGCTGGATTATCTGCTGAGATTATTTTTGTGTAGATTCGGATTAGGTTTGGGTTTTAAGGGTTGCTCTGTCACTTACTCACTCGCTGCTGAGAAGGCTGAGCTAATGAGAGGCTGTGATCGTGCCCCCCTCCCTCCGCTGAGCTGTCTTCACGCTGTTTGAGCAGGAAGAATAAAAAGCTGCTATAGAGATAAATTCTCACGCGTCGTACAGTGTTTGGGTGTCGTGCAGACCACACAGAGGGAAGGATGATAAAAAGATGCATTCTTCTCCTTTGTGATGCAAAGCTGCGGTTGCTTTGTGAGTTCTGCTGCCGTTTTCTCTTCGTCCTTTGTCTTTTGCTCTGTTAATCTGTCACTCTCTCTAATCTCTCTAATCTGTCTAATCTCTGCTCGTGCAAAAATTGATCTCTTTCTTTCAGTAGGATTTCCCTCCTCTTCCTCTCTGTATCCAGGAGAGGAAGTGTTTTCTCACCTGTCTCTGCTCGTACGTGTTCGGTTCATGGAGCCTGCTGAAAGTTTCACCTCAAACCGTCTCGTGTGTCCCCCCCCCGCAGAGAAGCCCGGCCCGCCCATCGACGTGCGCGTCACTGACGTCTGGGGCTTCAACGCCGCGCTGGAGTGGAAGCCGCCCAAAGACGACGGCAACTGCGAGCTCATCGGCTACACCGTGCAGAAACGAGACCTGAAGACAAAGGTATGCACGGGGGAGGGAGGGGCATGGGCAGGTGAGGGGCTCAGGGGGCGGAGCCAGACAAATCTGTTTCCGCCTCTAAATCATAGTTGCCATGTCCGCTTATTATAAGCGACTTTGGGCTTGTTTTTTTTCTAAAGTCGTTTGCAAATCTTGTGAGTCGTGGGCTCCGGATTGTTGGGGCTGTTTTTGAACGTGAAGTTGTTTATTTGGGCTCGACTTTCTTTCCGAGTGAAACTAGTTGATTATCTCCCAGCTCCACACAATAAAGCAAAAGACGAGTGGTCGTAGGTAGTTTGTCCCTTCCGCGCCCCCGTTTCCTGTTTATCGCTCCCGCCCAAGTTGGCGAGGCGACAGGCGCACATCCCAAACACTCATATGTGGCCGATCACTAGGGGGTTCACTCACACGCAGTCAGGATGTTTTGTTTTTAAAAATATGTAGAAAAACATTACGTAAGGAAAATTTTTATTTTTATCAGAGCTTAAAAGTATGTTATTCAAAGTGTTTAGCATTATTTTGCTGTTTTTTATGTGTAATGCCATAATAAACGAATGTTTATACTGTTTAAAAAATGGCCTCTGTTTTACACAATGTGGTGGGTTGCCAGTTGGGCCTGTTTTTATAGAGCTGATGTCTTGTTTCTATCGTGAGATCTGGCAACACTGCTCTAAATTCTGTCCTCCGAGCAGGGACGACCACATGGCACCTTGGAGCTTCTTGTTTGGACCAAAGTCAGTTCGTCTTTGTCCCGGCCTGTTTTTGTTTCTTAAACGTCGTTAAATGTAGACAATAATGTGTTTCTCCATCTGTTAGCAAAATATCTCATTTTAATGAAACTTACAAAAAAAACTTGAATGAAGGTACGTTAACTTTTGGAGTCAGCCCAATCCAAGATGGCTGCCAGAGCCAATTACCCTTGAAATGAGCAACAACAAAAAAAAGGCTTCAACTCCGTCAGACTGCGATCTTTAATCTGGTGTGGTAGTAGCTGAGAGTGATTCACGACTCATCGTGCAAATCAAACTTCTGACGTTTTAGAAAAGCAAGAAACGTTTTTAAAAGTATTTCTGTTTTAAACAAAGCGAACAACGTTAAAGATGATGGTTTTTAAAACATCGTTTGATTTTATGTTTTAAATAAATGACATCAGGGCTGTAGATTTTAATTTTTTTTTTAAGTTTAAAATAAACTTATCAATCAAATAAACACATCTAAATTTGTATTATTCCCCTTTTCTTCCATATTTGAGTCATTCTTAGAGTTTTGGGGAAAAACATGTCGTTTGAGACTAAAACTAAAAAGTTTTTATCTAAAAAAATAAAACACATTTTAACAAACTATGAGTTTTACATAAAGTGGAAGTTGCAGAACATTTTACAGTAAATGGACTGGACTTATACAGCACCTTTCTATCTTATTTCAAGATACTCAAAGCGCTTTACAACAATCTGTACCTCATGTACCCGTTCATACAGCTCTATACTAGATCTCTACAAAGATAATTGAACAAATCATTCTAAAGAGACTAATCAGAGCTTTATCACATTCATACACTGATGGGACACACATCAGAGGCAACGAGGGGTTCAGTGTCTTGCCCAGGGACACTTCAGCATGTGACTGCTGGTGGAGTCGAACCCCCAACTCTTGCATTGGAGGACGACTGCTCTAACCACTCAGCCACAGCCGCCTTCACAGTCTGTGAAGTAAAAAAATTTAAATGTACTGATTTATTTACTTAAACAAATCTTTGTTCTGTGCAAAGAAAATTAGATTTTCTGTTTGTCAGAGCAGGTGTGTCATAAAACGTGGATTAAAATGTGAAATAATTCAATTAAAAACTTTATATAACATGTTTTGAACTCGTAATATTAAAATGTAAAACTGATTATAATGTTTGCAGAGAAACACTCTTCCTGCTCCTGTTTCACTCTTGAATTGTTTGATTTTTTTTTTATCTTTGGTGTTGAATAATAATCTTTTGTAAAAGTGGAAAAGTTAACAAAATCAAACATATCATCTTTATTCTTAGTTTAAAGTTTGTCAGTCTGTCAAAGTTAAACGAACCAACACACTAAAGGATTGGAGGAAGATGTTTTTTAAGCTTTCTTCTTCTCAGAGCGTCTCGTTTGTCTCCGCGTCAGGAGTGGTTCACGGTGCTCGAGCACAACCGCAGGCCCAGCTGCACCGTGTCCGACCTGATCATGGGCAACGAGTACCGTTTCCAGGTGTTCAGTGAAAACATCTGTGGCCTCAGCGACCAACCCGGAGTCAGCAAGAACACGGCCGTCATCATGAAAACAGGTGATGGACATCAGTTACACACAAGGAAATTATATTAGGAATATATAGTGGGGTTTGCATGTTCTCTCCGTGCATGCGTGGGTTTTCTCTGGGTGCTCCGGTTTCCTCCCACAGTCCAAAAACATGCATGTTGGACTGATTGGTAACTCTAAATTGTCCCTAGGTGTGAGTGAGAGAGTGAATGGTTGTTTGTCTCTATTTGTCCCTGTGATGGACTGGAGACCCGTCCAGGTGTCCCTCGCCTCTCGCACAGTGATGGAACCATGACCCCCCGCGACCTGAAAAGGAAGAAGCGGGTAAAGATAATGGATGGATGGATGGTAAGACTCTCCATGACCTTAAAGGTGCCACTGTGTTGGTGTTTATTGTCACGGCGCCGGCCCAGTCCGTGTCGTGCTACAAACACGAGCCGGGCCGGAACATCGCTGATCACCAGAAGCTTTTATAACTCAAAGCGCCACGAGCCGATCGACACCGAGGCAGAACAAAGTGGAGGAAGGCCTCTAATGAGACTTTACAGGTTCCTCACACCAGCCATGAAGGAACTACATTATTATTATTATTATTAATATAATTATTGAGCAAACACATTAAATAATCTATTTTCTTCACCCACTTTTTGTGCAGGCTCTCAGGGAGCTGGTGCCCACCTCCACCGGTCACTGGACAATAAATGAAATTAAAATTATTTTATCTGGAAACGACAACTTCATGATTTTGCTTGTTGGACAGTTGCACGATCCAACGTTTTAGAGCCCGACCACTTCCAAAACACAATCGTCTTCTTCAGGTCTTTCTGAAGTTTGATTGTGTCTCCAGCGCAGGATTCAAAACGTCTCTTTAATCCTCCGCGCTGCTGTTGTTGACACCGTTAGTAATCACCACACCTGCTCTTGATTCTTTATCCCTCTGTGTTTTTATACTAGAGGATATTCTTGTGTTTGTTTCAAGTGAAATCATAGTTTTAGTTTATTTAGTTTGTTGCTTGGTTAAAAGATTTCTCCGCACTCGGCCTGATTAACGACACCTGCAGGGAAAGGATGCCAACAAAACCTTTGATTTTTTTAAAACTTTACCGTGCTTGATGGTTCTCCATTTTAATCTTTTTTTTTATCTTTATTTAAATCGGGGGTCATGTTATAACAAAAATAAAAAATAAACTATCTTTGTTCTTTCATTTGTTGGAGGTTCTTCTTATAATGTTTTAACTAACGAGGAAGAATTAATTTTTTATGTTTTGCACAGAAAAATCTGGTTCAGGTTTTCTCTGTCTTTAAAGTGTGTATTCTCCAAGGTAAGCTTTAAAACATGATGTTATTCACATAAACTAAAACGTGAACGCATCAGTTTTCATTTTGTTCAGCTTTCTATTCATGTTACTTTTCAGTTTGTCTTCAACTTTGAGGTGAAACAAAACGTCATATTTATTAATAACCCTTCTTCACGTTCATCCCTCATGGTAGCTCCTTCCTCAGAGCTCGCCTCCTCTCCCCACCCAAGAGATCCAGATGGAGTTTTGGATTATAAGGCGCATTAATTGAAACAAAACAGTCGGATAAGTCAAATTTATTCAACTCATTCACAATAACTCTCAACATTGTTCAGTTGTACCACATATAATCGGTTCGAGGTCAGTAAGCGCAACCAGAATTAATACATAAGGCTCACTGTCGATTTTTGAGAAAATTAAATGATTTTAAAAGCGCCTTATAGTCCAAAAAACACTGTAATTTGTATTTAAGATTAAATAGATGCAGAAGGAAGTTTCTGACCTGTGAAACTTTTCATTGTTACGTGCTTGTGTTGCTTCAGAGGCTGCAGGAAGATTCCTGAACTAACTTTTTTTGTTGTTTGTTTAGGTCAGATGTTTGCTCCTAAACCGTTCAAAGAGAAGGACATGAGCCTCTCCCCCAAATTCACCGCTCCTCTGGTGGACAGAAGTGTGGTCGCAGGCTACTCTGCAGCCATCAGCTGTGCTGTTCGTGGATACCCGAAGGTGATCATCTTACCCTTTTTCCTTTTCAGGCTTTTTCTGATAACGTTCAACTGTAATTATTCCTGTTTCGCTCAGTTTATAGCAGAAATTCTGCCATATTTGATCTGTTTTAGGGCAACAAATGCAGCTGTTTGCTGTTCAGTGTAAATATTTAGCAGCTGACGTGTTAAACTGACAGACAGACGTGTCTTTTTGTAACGTCTGCAGCTCTGCAGCATTAATCTGACCGGCCCGCTGAGCAGAGTTCTTGCTCTGTGCTCCAACGAGTCAAACAATGAGACGATCCTGATGCTGCTGCAGTCAAGATGTTGTTTTACGTCTGAACATGATTGAACACGTTTCCTTCTTATCTCACCACTACGGATGCACGATATTGAAATTTTGGTCGATATCCGCTGTGCCGATATGTTAAAATTTATTTGGCCGATAACCGGTACCAATACCGATATTTTCCCCTAGACCTACTTACAGAGACTACATAGATTTCTCTGCTGTGGAATTAAAATACTACATTATTCTGCATGGTCTTTGTCAATTTGGCCTGCTACAAAATGCAAATGCCAAAAAGGGGCTGAAATGATTTAACACTATATAAATATATATATATATATTTTTTTAAAGCGTCTTTTATATTGAGTTACTTTGATGGAATGGCCGATGTCCGATATTTAACCTTATCTAATATCGGCCGATACCATGCCGAAAGTATTGTGCATCCCTACTCGCCACATAAGCAAAACCCAAATGTTGACCCGATTTCACCTCCTCCTCCTCCTCCTCCTCCTCCTCCTCCTCACCTCAGCCCAAGATCATCTGGATGAAGAACAGCATGGCCATCGACGGAGACCCCAAGTTCCTGATGCAGAACAACCAGGGCGTGCTGACTCTGAACATCCGCAAGCCGAGCCTGTTTGACGGGGGCCGGTACTCCTGCAGGGCCGTCAACGAGCTCGGGCAGGACGAGGTGGAGTGCAGGCTGGATGTTCGAGGTGGGCGGCCTCCACGTTTCTTCGCTCTTCTTGTTTTTATTTGTCAGCTTGAAACAGGAGATGGGCGCTAGGACTTCTGGTTTAGTCAGTTTTGAAATATTTAATTTGATATGCAAATATTTTCATGGGGGAGTGGTGGCGCAGAGGATAGAGAAGGTGGGCCTGTCGAAAGGTCGCCGGCTCGACTCCCCGGACTGACAACATCAAAATGTGGGTGGGAAAGGTGAAACACCCACACCTGCCTCCACCCTCATTTGCCCCACTCTGGGCCCTTGAGCAAGGTCCTTAACCCCCACTATCTGCTCCCCCGGGTGCCCTAGATGGCAGCTCTCTGCTCCACACAGAGGGCTGTGGTAGCTCGGTGGTTTGTGGTTGTGTCAGGAAGGACATCAGGTGTGAAAACAATCGCCAAGTGTTTGTGCAAGTTAGTTCATTAGTGATGACCCCTGAAGAAGGGAGCAGCCGAAATAAAAAGAACATGAACATATTCCTTGTAGTTTAGAATAGATATCTACAATTACTTCAGAAACTTTGTTCTCTCTGAAATCTGCTTCAGAAAACTTTCTCTATATTTGTCACCTTGTGCTTTTTGTGTTTTTTACTTTTTAGCTCCCATTCTGTTACTTTCAGCCTTTAGCCATGCTTTCGGTTAGTCTTTTGCTACCTTCAGCTGATATTTTGCTACTTCTTGATTGCCATTAGCCTTCTGTTACTTTTGCCTCATTTAGCTTTTTAAGTAGCCATTTGTAAATTTTAGGTGGCTCTTTACCTGTAGCCAGCCTTTTGCTATGTTTAGCTAGGATGTTGCTACTTCTACATTTATTTAACATTTTATTACTTTAATTAGCATTTTTCTATCTTTAGCCTTTAGCTAGCATTTAGAAAACAACAGCTTCCAGTTAGCCTTTTGCTAACTTTAGCCAATCTTTTGCTGTTTTTAGCTAGCTTATTGCTACTTTTAGATTTTAGTTGGCTTACTTTAGCTAGTTTTTTTTCCTGTTTTTAATTTTTTTTAGCTTGCCTTTTGCTACATTTAGCTTTTACCTAGCCTTTTGTTACTTTTAGCTAACAAATTTTCTGTTTTTAGCTACCCATTTGCTACTTTGACATTTTAACTAATCCCTGTCTACATTTAGCTCTTAGTTAACTTTTAGCCTTTTCAGCTAAATTTAGCTTATTTTGCCTTTTAAGAAGCATTTTGTTCTGCTTAGCTTTTAGCTGCTTCTTTTCACTTTAACAACTCAATTTAAGTTACTTCAGCCATTCTCAGTTTTCACAGATTTATTTTAGTTCCCACAGATCTGAAAGCAGCTTTTAAAGCCTCACATGCTGCAGCTTTTTGGCTCCTTGCGTTGATTTTATTTGTATTTTTTCTCCACAGTTCACCAAGAGAAAGCAGAAGAGCCGAAGAAATGAACGCAACAGCCGAGGATGTAGCTGATCAGTAATGGATGCTGTAGAACGGAATGGTCACGAATGAATATGATCAGAATAGATGGCCGCTCATCTGCAAACAATTGTTTGATGAATCAGTAATGTGCCATAAATTCTTCCAGCGAACTGCACCTTGTTCCACCCGTCCTGCATGCAGCCGGACCCCCTGCTGTGACCTCACACAGGCGGGTACTTCCTGTCTGTGGACCTGTCGCTGAACCCTCTTATAAAGAAGCTCTCATCCACTAAGACTCCCCGTGTTGTCTTTGTGTGTGTGTAAGCCGATGGTTCCTCGATGTGTGTGTGAGCTGATAGTTCCTTGGTGTGTGTGTGAATCAATGGTTCCTAGGTGTGTGTGAGACAATGGTTCCTAGGTGTGTGTGAGTCAATGGTTCCTAGGTGTGTGTGTGTGAGCCGATGGTTCCTAGGTGTGTGTGAGTCAATGGTTCCTAGGTGTGTGTGAGCCCATGGTTCATTGGTGTGTGTGTGAGTCAATGGTCCTAGGTGTGTGTGTGTGTGAGTCAATGGTTCCTAGGTGTGTGTGAGTCAATGGTTCCTAGATGTGTGAGAGCTGATTGTTCCTCGGTGTGTGTGTGAGTCAATGGTTCCTAGGTGTGTGAGAGCCCATGGTTCATTGGTGTGTGTGAGAGTCAATGGTCCTAGGTGTGTGTGTGTGAGTCAATGGTTCCTTGGTGTGTGTGAACCGATGGTTCCTAGGTGTGTGTGAGTCAATGGTTCCTAGGTGTGTGAGAGCCCATGGTTCATTGGTGTGTGTGAGAGTCAATGGTTCCTTGGTGTGTGTGAACCGATGGTTCCTCGGTGTGTGACGTTTTGGATTAACAGGGATTAAAGGGATAGTCTGAATATTCTTCCAGTTATTTATATTTATCATCGGTGACATCAGCTGATCAGACGTCAGTGTGGCGAAGAGCAAAAGTTTTAATCCGGGCGAGAGGTTAGCCGAGGGGTGAGCAGCCTTTACAACCGGAGACAGTTCTGCTTCTTCGTCACTCTGTAAAGACATATGTTTCTTTCTACTCCTTTTGAACATGTTTATTATTGACTGTTCTTTTTTCTCTTTCTGCATTTTTTGTTGTTTCATTTAAACATGTTCAAAACAATGCCTTAACATCATCATATCCAGAGCAACAACAAAAGACTTCAAAAACCTTTTAATGAAAGATGACGCAGCTTATTTTTTTAACACTACATGCATTAATTATTGATTGTTACACTATTAAATGAAATATCTGCAATTCTGCTTTAAATGGAAAACATTTAATGGCAGTTAGGACAAACTCCTGTTCAGAAAATTAAGTCTGAACTCGTGATAGTCCTGTCAATATAATTGTAGGAAACTATTAATATAAGCGGAGCATTAATGAAGAATGAAGCTGCACTGAAATAAACTTGGAAAGTAATGAGGCCAGTTTGACGCAATACTTGTGACTCATTGAATTCATGTTTTTGTTTGTTTGTTTGTTTGTTTTTGTGAGTTTTTATCAAAGCCAATTATTTTAGTTGTGATCACCCAATTTCAATTGCTTGTGTGCAGAAAGGAAGAAGAGGATAAAGATGATGGATGGATGGATTGTGCAGAACTGCACTTCCTTTTTTTCTAAGCAACTTACATGAAATGTAGCAGACAGTAAACAGCCCGCAGCTGTCCTGAGGCCCGTTGATCACTACTGTCTGGCAACCCGCTGCTGGCTGGAGCTTGTGGCTGTCTGGCAACCCGCTGCTGTCCAGCAGCTTATTACTGCACTGCTCTCCTTTAGTATTTCAAAATACTTCTGTGCTGCAGACATGGCGCCTCGTTAATCACAGCAGCTGTTGTATTATGACTGTACTGCAGCATGGCTGGTGTAAAACCATCAACCTCAATGATCAGAACCAGAGCAGGGCAGTTGCTCCGATACAGATCAGTGATAAACACCTTGATCAGTACTCAGAGCTGATGCTTGCAGCTGGATCAGGACATCAGTATTTCTGTCTATAAGTGTTTGACAGCGTCACTTCAAAATGATTAACCTGTATCTGCAGGTTGTTGTGCACCGGTACGGCCCTCATCTACATAAACACACACAGTCTCTTTGCATTCCTTTACGCTCTAACACTGCGTTCCTCATGGCATGACCTGTAGTGCCAGGCCGTCGCCGATCCACGGCTTACACTCGTGCAAACACAAACACACACTCCAAATCAGGGTCTCATTAGCATCACACACTAGAGACTAATTAATGTACCCATCAACACTGCCCTAATTAGCTCTCCCACGTCATTACTGAGCAAACGAATTACCGCTAATTTACACACCCGCAAAACAAACACAGCACCGACTCTGCTGGGAGCGTCCGCTGCGCCTCGCCTCGCAGACCGAATTAAAGCCTCACCGATGTTCCGCAACACCCAGACTGCCATCCCAGGTGACCCTGAGCTCCCCCCCTCTGCATCCTGACTGATCAAGGTTTGGAAAAACTAAAGTCTCTGCTGGTCCCATCAGGTCCTGGTCTCTCATGTGTCTCCAGCAGAGGGGGTGAGAGCACAAACTGACCATCATTCACTGTGAGTGGCAGATTCTTCACTGATGGCCTCTGTGGACCTTCTGAAACTTCCAAAATGTGTCGGAAACACTTTGCACCTCAGAGGACTCAACTTTTCCTTCTTTCCGCCGCAGCTCAACTTTATTTCCTGCAGCTGAAGACGTTTGGCCCGTGTGGTCGGTAGTTTTGAATCACCGTGTATGGGTTTTATTGAAGCTTTCAGGAAGCATCAACAACAAATAACCATCCATCCATCCATTCTTTACCTTCTTCATCTTTACCCACTTCTTACTTTCTGGATCACAGGGGTCACTGGAGCCCATATCCAGCAGTCATTGTGCGAGGGCGTACCCCGCCTACACCCCGTGTACCCTGAACAAGTCCATCACAGGGCCACAAAAAAACAAACGAGACAAACAACCATTCTCTCTCTCTCTCTGTCACATAGGGATAATTTAGAGTCACCAATCAGATTAACGTGCATGTTTTTGGTCTGTGGGAGGAAACCAGAGTGCCTGGAGAAAACCCACACAGCATGAAGAGAACATGCACACTCCACCTAGTAAGGCCCCCAGCTGGGATTTGAACCACCGACCTGCTCGCTGAGAGGCAGCAGCTCTACCAACTGAGCCACTGTGCCGCCCACAACAATTAACTCTTGGTGTAAATTAAATCCAATATGGCGGCCACAGATAAACACTAAAATATGTCAACCTTTAGGATCAAAAGAGCCGTTTCAAAATAAAATAAATAAAATGGTATGGTACTTCTGCCCCTTCGTTCACTAAATTAAACGTGTCCAGAGCCACAATCCCTGCTACAATTGTCATCATAAACTGGTGGCCCATGGGCCACTTTAAGTTTGTTAGAGGGTGCTTTTCTGGCCAGTAGGTGTGAAATTATTAAACTAAAAACATCTAATGATTAACATTTATTGATATTTTTACATTTTAAGACAAATTAATAGACTGGCTTCCATCTGTCCGTCCATTGTCTTTACCCATTTCTTCCTTTTCATGTTGCAAACATGGCAGCACGACGGCTCAGTGGTTAGCACTGTTGCCTCACAGCAAGAAGGGCTGGGTTCAATCCCCAGTTGGACCAGGGTTCTTTCTGTGTGGAGTTTGCATGTTCTTCTCGTGCTTGCATGGGTTTTCTCCGGGTACTTCAGTTTTCTCCCACAGACCAAAAACATGCATGTTAGGCTGATTGGTAACTCTAAATTGTCCCTAGGTGTGAATGAGAGAGTGAATGGTTGTTTGTCTCTGTGCGTCCCTGTGATGGACTTGCGACCCGTCCAGGGTGTACCCCGCCCCTCGCACAGTGATTGCTGGACGTGGGCACCAGCGACCCCCGTGACCCAAAATGGAAGAAGCGGGTAAAGATAATGGATGGATGGATGAATAAACAGTCATTTTGCCTATTAAAAAAAAAAAAACTTAAATAATGAAATGTGCAGGCTTTTGCATTTTTCATTGAGGAGTAATTGCATATCCTACTTTGAAGGAACAAAGCATAAAGTTAAACTCTGAGTATTAGTACTAGTATCCACATATTTGCAAAGGAATTGACAGGAAAACTTCTAAAACTAGTAAATTTTGTTGTTGTGGGTATAACATCATATAAATTTCAGTTTTGTGATAGTTTTGGTCAAAGCTTGAAAGAGCTGCTGCGGCGGGAACAAAGAGCCACTTGTGGCTCCGAAGCTGCAGGTTGCACACCCCTGGTCTAGCCCAACCAGTTTTAAAGATCTTGAGCTAAAATTTGGTGTGGTAGAAGCAAGAACTGGGGGCTGTGGTGTAGAGGTAGGGCAGCTGATTTGGGACCAGAAAGTCGCAGGTTCAATTCCCCACCATGCCCACATGGTGTCCTTGAGCAAGACACCCAATCCCTAACTACTCCCTGGACGCCTACATTGCCCTGAACAGTTCTCTGTTGAAAACGAGTCCTCGTGACTCAGTGAGACTACCTGTATAAATAAAGGTTAAATAAATAAAATAAAATAAAAATAACTCTCCACATATCCTGATGCATGCTCAGTAATCCAGGTAGAAAAATCTTTTAAAAAGTTAAATCTGGTCCTCTGGACATTCAAAAAACAAACAAATTGTAGAAACGTTTCGTCTTTCATCCGAAAGACTTCTTAACTCTCCACATAATTTACAAGGTTACATCTCTCCCAGAAAAATAGTCATTTTGGTTAAAACTCCTGTGTGGGAGGCAGCGGGCGACATGCATTCTGTCAAGGTCTTTATTGCAAAGAGGAGTTAAAAGTCTGAGGCTGTGCACGACCAAACGAAGCAGGGAGATCCTCCAGATACCTGAAAGTAGGCCACGACTGGTTGCACGATAAACCTGCAGTGCAGCACCCCCCCCCCCCCCAAAAAAAAAATAAACTGAACCCTGTCGATTGATAAATGACTCTGCAAGCATGTTTGTGTTGCTCTAATGTTTTTGTCAGTTAACCCGAGACGCAGTGTGGCATGTTGCTCCGGTGACTGACACATGAAAGCAGCGCTGAAGATACATCGCATGCTGCTTTGCACAGGAGGAGTTTTTTTGTGGGGGAGGGGGGAGAGAATAAAAACCCCAGCGTGTAACCTGGATTTTCCACCTCACTTCTCAGAAGTGATGCTCAGTTGCTAAGCAATCACAATAATTGTATCCACCGGCGT